TTCTTCTCCCCTCTGTTTCCCACTCTTCCTCTCTCCTATCCCTCTCTTCCCATCTTTCTTCTCTCCTCTGTTTCCCACTCTTCCTCTCTCCTATCCCTCTCTTCCCATCTTTCTTCTCCTTCCTGTTTCCCACTCTTCCTCTCATTGGTGTATTTCCGCTTCTGAGCAAACTCCATTCTACGTTGATGGTATTTATGCTTCCATATCAGAGTGCAGTTTTTTGCGTGTTGAACCAGTAGTAACGGTGGTCGGAACCACCCCTGGCCAAAACGTTGGGGAAGTAAAGACTGATTTCCGCATGTTTTCAATCAAAGCGAATGCATGGAAGTCTGAGCGCAGGGGGTGCACATGCGCTGACATTTGCGAACCAGTAGGGAAAGTAAGTGAATACCAGCCCTGATGTTATGGGTCCCCTCCATTAAGGAGATCCATCTGGTGGGACCGAGAAGAAGGGCCTTCTTCGTGGTGGCTCCCTCCCTGTGAAAAATCATCCCTGCGGAGATAAGATTGGTCCCCATTTTGACCTCCTTTTGAAGAATCACAGGGGGGGGGGAAAGGAGTTGGAAGGGGGGCCCTGGAAGGTCTTCTAGTCCAGCAGGCCCCGAAACTCGCAAATGTCAGTCACGTGATCTCTGGACCACAACCGTCGTAAATACAGAGCGGGTGCCAAGCACTCAGCTTTTGATCACAGGACCGTGGGAATGCTGCAACGGTCCTAAGTGCGAGGACCCGTCGGAAGTCACTTCTTCCACTGCCGTTGCAACTTTGCCTGCGGAATTTTATTAGTCTAACAAAATTATATAATACAGAAGTACAGGTAGTCCTTGACTTACGACCAAAAACGGACCACCAGCCCCCAAGTTTCTGTCGTTAAGCGAGACATCGATTAGGGGAGTTTTGCCCCGTTTCGTGACATTTCTCGCCACCGTCGTTCAATGAATCATTGTAGTTGTTACGTTAGCCACACAGTTGTTAAGTGAATCTGGCTTGGCTTGACGTGTCGGAAAGGTCGCAAAAGGGGATTACGTGACCACCACCCCAGGCACACTGCGACCGTCATAAATATGAGTCACTTGCCAAGAGTCCGAATTTTGATCTCGCGACCATGGGGATGCTGCGATGGTCGTATGTGTGAAAAGACACTCCCAAAACGTGCCCAAAGGTGTCGTTGTAAGTCGAGGACTACCGGGACAAAGAAAATAATGGGACAAAAGGGGGGGAGGAGGAGGAGGAGGAGGAGGAGGAGGAGGAGGAAAAAAAGGCATGGTGTTCGTTGGAACAGCAGGACCATTGCTAAGCAGTCGTAAATCGAGGACTGCCTGTCGAAGCTAACGTGGCATGTGTCTGTGCGTTTCCAAAACCAACTAGGTGC